CATTTCACCAGAAACAGACGCTCTGATGACTTGGAAAGTGTCTAAATACGTTTCTGTTTCATCGTGGCATGAAACTCCATTTCCTTCGATCAATTTCTATATAAAGCAAATTTAAGATGGACTCTGCTGTGTGTGATCCCATGACCATGACGCGCTATGTCTTTGACTACCTCCTTGGTTCTTCACACTCAGAGACAGCACCATCTAATGTATTGAATCTTTCAGCAGGGGAGCTTGAAATGCATTGACGACACTCCATTTAACAGACGTCCGACTTGCAGCATCTCAGGAAGGTTTTCGCTATGGTCTCTTCATGTGGTTAAGAGGATACAGTACACGTTCTCCAGATTTCTCCTGCTGTTTTCAAAGACTATCGATGCAATTCATTGGCGTATGGCCTTAGGCAATGACAGTAACATCATTTGACAGCCCCACTTCCACTTTCCGGTGGAGGTTAAACGCAGAAGCTGAAAAAATGTATCTGGCAACAAAAAATGATTTAACACTTAGGTGCTGTAGTTTTTTTCCAAGCAATACACTCGTGGCGCGTGTTGTTGAGTGGTAGAGCGAAGAGAGGGAGTACTATCTACTGGGCAGCTCGCAAGGTCGTTTCTGCCAGGAAGCAGGATATATGTGCTGTATTTTCAGTTTTGAAATTGGTAAAAAAATCTATTTGTTGCGTGTTGAGAGTAATGATATAGATTTTCTACGCTGTTTTCAGTTATCAAGGTCCATTCGGGAGAGCTTACTTAACATCTCCCTTGTGCATTTGTCATACCTCGTTGAAGAGTACCGACACTTATCGATCAGTTCAAATTTGGGAAACACTTATTTTATGATTGATTGTTGTATTTTTATGAATTTATTGCCTTTCTTGTGTTATCTGTACTAGGGAACAGGCTCAGACTTAAACGGCAACAATATTCACCCTCCAAAACGGCATTTTAGGTATCCCAATGACAAACAAAACTTGTTTACCGTTTGCCAATAGCATTTGACATTGACACTCAGTTTTCTAAGATTTGTGCCCAAATGGATTTTTTTCTTTACCTGAAGGCACTCAATAATTTCAATTTTCGCAAATTTCAAAGTAAACAGACATATTTTATACAGGCTTAAATGGAAATAAAGACTAGAAATGGTTACATATGTCTATGTAGGTGAACAACATTGCTGTTGGCATTGGCATTAATCCTAATACACTAACTTAAAGACGCAAGCACTTCTAAGTCTCTCGTAATTACTTCATTACGACATCATGGCTCTTCAGGGGCGGTGGCGTGGCCTAATGGTGAAAGCGTCCGCTCGTTACGCCGAAGACCGGGGCTCGATTCCCCACATGGGTACAATGTGTGAAGCCCATTTCTGGTGTTCCCCGCCGTGATATTGCTGGAATATTGCTAAAAGTGGCGTGTAGCCATACCACTCACTCACTCATGGCTCTGCAATTCTGTATTAATGACTATTAACGAGTTATTCCTGTGTATGTGTGACATATTACACCGGTATATGTTGCGTCTCGGCTCTCCATATAGTCATATGAACTATTGCACGGTAAATACTTTTAAATGCACGATGGCTTACAGACCTGTGAAGATCCGAGTTAGAAATTGTCGTCAGTAACCCATGCTTGTCGTAGGAGGCGAGTGGTCAGACTCGCTGACTTGGTTGACACATGTCATCCCGACTGCCTAGATCGATGCTCATGGAATTGTCTGGTCCTGACGCGATTATTTACAGACCGCCGCCATATAGCTGGTATAGTGCTGAGTGCGGCGTAAAACAACCAACCAATTCCTGACTTCTTACAACTGCCAAACATGGCGTCTCTGCTGTGGATACAAATGTTTGTGTATGTACATACTGCGCATGCATTATAATTGCATGCGTTAGGTTGTATCTCCACACTTTAGGGTAAATAAAAGTATCATTTATCACACGGTGTAATCAGCACCGTCCGATGATAATTAAACCCTTCTTCATCATTCTCCGCGATTCAATATAGCATCATCCGCGGAAGCAGCCACGCTAATCCATCAACTTTGTTGACCGTTCGGTCTTTACATAAATATTTACAAGTACCTCATTTGTTTTCTGGCACATCATTCTAATATCCTTCCTGATAATAAATTTGTGTGCCTATCGCTATATTTTGCTCCATCAATTGTCTATGTAAGCAGCCATTTTGACATACTCGTTGGTAATACCTCTCCCCGGCGTCGCTGGTAGCCGCTGTTTTGGTCAAAGGTTGTGTTCGACGAGACGCTTTACGTCATTGTGAGAAAGTAGAAACACTGTTCTTCTGTCAAGGTCACTGATGCCCGACCGTAGAGTTCTGTTTCAGAAATATTGTCTAACTGTCCGTCTACATGTAATCCTCCCTAGTGTGGACTTCGGGCAAAATATTGTTCCCCATCGACCCATGCTTCATCAATAAGGACGAATAAATGAATATGGGGATCAGACTAATTGATTGGTTGATATCTCAATTTTGTGGCTCGATGGTCATGATGTCAATCCCTGGCTTGTCTTGTAAGATTCTTCACTAACGCTCCACCGCCTCATTTGGTTAAATATTGAGTTAGGCATTAAAATACAACAGACGTACCGACATAAGGAGTTTCAGAACTCACGTTCGACCATGGACAACCCGTGAAGATCCTGGTTAGAACTGATCTTCAGTAATCCATGCTTGTCGTAAGAGGCGCCTAACAGGATCGGGTGGTCAGGCTCACTGACTTGGTTGACACATGTCATCGGTTCCCAATTGCGCAGATCGATGCTCATGCTTTTGATCTCAGGATTGTCTGGTCCAGACTCGATTATTTACAGACCGCCGCCATATAGCTTGAATATTGCTGAATGCGGCGTAAAAATAAACTCACTCACTCACTCCACCATGGACACCAATAACACATGGTATTGTCTCTTGTAGATAGTGATTCATAATCATATGCTTATCATCCTGTGGCGGGAAGTCATTATCATATTGATCGTTTATGTAACTATGGTTTGCATACAATTGTTTAAATTAAATACAAGTGTTTGGAAATTGAGATCTTACTGTATGCAGCAAGGCCTGAAAGATCAATATGTAAAGCAGGAAGTAGTGCTCGCGGCATGAATTGTGCTTTCCTCTGGAACTAGTTTAACTTGCTATACAGTCACATCTGTCATGTAGGTTGGAAATCTATTATCTAGACTGCCTAATCACAAAAAGAACTGATGAATGCACAGCTGTTTGTACAATAACACTTATATAATGCTTGTCAAACATTTATTTATTGTAATCCATGGTTGTATTTTTATATCACTGCATACGTTATTTTCTCCAGCAATGTGATACATTATTTCCAGGACTGAACATATTCAGTCATTCATTAGACATGAAAGCAGATCATCTAACTTATATAACAATGTTCATCACCCTGTCTACTGACTTACAATAGACACCCAGCCTTTACCACTACCGGTCGTTAGTACACAACATTTAACAGTGCGATGAATCCTATTTGGATTTGCCAGCATGATGAATCGACGTATTCTGCATTAGTCAAGCGTTGTGGATGAGATGAGATAATGTACCCACAGGCAGTTTTTTTCGCAGCTGCGGCTTATGGGCTGGGGTTTTGTTTGATGATCTGTAAAACAAATACTGTTTTAATACACCACCGTCAATCTCCACGACAATAACGTTCATACAAATATTATGCATTTGTCCTCAGGCAAATCGTTCCCGTAAACAAGTGCAGATATGAATAGGTATTTGCATAGTGCACTCATGGGTGGATCGAGGACACACACAGGAATACATTAATTAAAGTCTAGCGCTCATGGACCTATTAAAAATACACCTTATGGTATCATAACACTTCAGCGATAAGCAAGAATTCCCGTACATCTGGCAGTCTTTCAGGGAGGTTAATTTACTTCGTGTGAATAACAGTAAATATCATGCCTGGTGGCACAGACACAATGGTGAGCAGGCTACCAACGTCTTCTTACATTTGCTTTTCGATCATTCTAGATAATCCTTTTTCCGTTGAAATGACACATTTTCGTAATTCCAATTACCGTAGTTACGAGAATTCCGTCCAACTCCATACTGTATATCAATTGCACTATTCATTTGAACATTTCAAGATATTGTTTACCGATCAATATTCGTTGAGAAAAAGTAATTTAGAAGCACTTATCAACTTTGCGCCTCTACCTCGACAGATGGTCTATTCACACGAGCCATAGGAGGTAGAAACACTTGTTTCCTATTGCGTGAGAATGGTTTTAAGCAGCTTTTAGCAATATTCCAGCAATATCACGGCGGGGGGACATCAGAAATGGGCTTCCCAGATTGCACCCATGTGCGGAATCGAACCCTGTCATCGGCGTGACGAGCGAACGATTTAACCATTAGTCTACCCCACCGCCCCTGTTGTCTATTGTCAGGAAGAAATGAGTCAGGGCTGATGCCGCCTCGCATAATTTTTCACTTATGATCACTAAGTGACAGATGTCCAAATATCATACCTTATCAGTTTATCGAAGCCAGTGCACTCGAGTGTGAAGCTGGCAAACCTAAAAACAATCCCGGTTTGAAACGTTCTATCACAGGTCCAGGTGTGGCTATATGACACACAAGACAATAGTAGTTGTTACCATGTCTGCCATTCAAGGTATAAACAAGGGCTGTTCGGCTCGTAAAAAATAAACTGTGCCTCGGTGGGCTAGCTAGATAGGTTAAGCTACATAACAGACTCTCAGCGCACCAGCCGGTAATTGTCTGAACGAGTTCAAGCACACACACAGGTACACACCACACACAAACAAAACGCACATGCACGCTAAAACACACACACACACACACACACGTGGAACATAAACAAACACATGTGCAATAATCCTGAGCCTTCATCTTCCCTGTATTGAAAGTGCCCCACAGCATGTTAATTCTGTTTGGTGTAACGTATGGAATAAACAAGATGTTTTTTCCTGTGTTTCAGAGAGGATCAGCTCATGACGGCAAGGCGTGGATCCGTATCCCGGCTATAGCAACACAGAAACAACACACGACCGACCGACACAAATGTGAATGCCGTACGTAATCATCAAGTGGTTTCCTCCCTAGAACCCATGGACCTGTGCCGCCCGGCGTTGGGAAACATCTTCCAAAACTCTAGTGCTTTACAACATGTGAACTGTATAACCGTTCGCGTAGAAACATTCTAGAAGTGTGTACACATATATGTTCCACAATGGGACTCTACCTTTATGACTGATCAGCATATTACTCAATAGCTATAGAAGAAACACCATAAGGACGGAAAGCCCTGTAACCATGGAATTCAACCAGACAGGACTTCCGGGTCCTACGACGGAGTCCGTGAACAACGTCACCGTATTCACCCCATTCTCCATTCAAATGCACAGCTTTGAACATTTAGTGGTAACTACGACAGTTCTGGGTTTGTTCATCCTGGTGACTATCATAGGGAACGTGTTTGTGATCGCTGCCGTGATCCTGGAGCGCAATCTTCACAACGTGGCCAACTATCTGATTCTGTCTCTGGCTGTAGCGGACTTAATGGTGGCGGTTCTGGTCTTGCCCATCTCTGTTGTTTCTGAAATAAGTAAAGTTTGGTTCCTTCCAGCTGAAATCTGTGACATGCACATATCTTTCGACGTTCTTTGCTGCACTGCTTCCATTCTGCATCTCGTTGCCATAGCAATGGATAGATACTGGGCAGTCACCAGCATAGAGTATATTCGTAACCGCAGTGCTAAACGGATCAGCATCATGATTGCTATTGTATGGACAGTTGCAATGACAATATCCATTCCACCACTTTTTGGTTGGAAGGACGCAAATAACGATCCCGATAAAACCGGCGTGTGCGTTATTAGCCAAGACCATGGCTACACTATTTTCTCAACGGTCTGTGCCTTTTATCTTCCAATGCTTGTCATGATAATAATCTACATTCGAATATACCAAGTTGCGAGAGCAAGGATTAGGAAAAACAAGTTCCCTAATAAGAAAAAAGATAAGAAGAAAATGGTTAAAGAGGACGCTACTACGACGACCATATCGCCCAAAACAGAATATAGTGTTGTGTCAAACTGCAATGGATGTTCCCCAGAAAACAGCATGAAAAAGAAGGAAAAGAACAGCTCGGAGAATGAAACCGTTCCCAACGGCAATGAGCACTCCCAAGATGACGCCAATGCGGCCATGTTGCAAACCGCTGCAGAAAAATCTAAAATGGCCATGTCTCGGAAGGAAAAACTGGAACTAAAGCGTGAACGGAAAGCAGCCAGAACTCTCGCAATCATCACTGGAGCTTTCATCATGTGCTGGCTCCCATTTTTTATCGTTGCTCTTGTCAATCCCTTCCTCCCAGAAGTCGACAAGGTCCCTCATGTTGTTATCAGCATCGTGCTTTGGCTTGGGTACCTTAACAGCCTGCTTAATCCAGTCATATACACAATATTCAGTCCCGAGTTCAGAAATGCTTTCCGGAAGATTTTGTTTGGAAAATATTCCCGGGATAGGTAATCGGCCTCGAACGAATTCCAGTAACTGTTTTGTTCCAAAAAGGCCATTGGACCGCCATGGACAGCGATTGTATGAGTTTCGGCAGTGCCAACAGTGTATTTTTTTCCAGTGGTAGTATTTATGTATCTATTTTTATGACTTTTTGAAATGTTGCAACTGCAGGTATGCTGTGACTTCTGAGTGTTCTCAACCTGGCCTTTAACTCTGTGGCTCTTGGCGTGTAGCCCAAGAGGTTAAAGCATCTAAATGTACTTTTAAACAGGATTTCCTGAGGACGAAACAGCAGCGAAGTCAGCGCTACACCTTGCTGCAGACTCTGAAACGCCATCACCCAATGCGCTACTTCATGGCAAGTATTGGTTATGTATATTATGGGACTCGTGAGTCTACCGTGATTGGTAGATACAGAGGAGGATTGATAGAGTAAATGACTCCAGAAATTGTATATACTCGACAGAAGAGACATTTACTGAGGGTAATTCTAGCCCTCACGAGAACGATTGGATGGAACTTGGGACATTGCGTTAAGGTGATTCTTAGTGTGACATAAAGTCATCATAACGTTGACATTCCCATAGAAGTGAGTGATCATTATTCGCTTTGTATCATTGATTTTGTCTATATACATCCATATAACCAACATGCTGACGAGCTGCCGTCTAGAACACAACACAAGTGATATGACATAGACATTTAGTTCCAGATTGGTTTAAAGGTATTTTTGTAAATGTATTGTTGCTCCATCTCGTGAGTAGCTTAAGATGTGCTTGCCTATTTGTAGACTTTAAGGCTTTGAGCTGTCCTGTGTCGATGGCCCCCGACACTGGACATCCTCAAGCTAGCTGCAATTCCATCTACAGGACACAAAGGTATCTATTCCCAATTGTCTTTTTAAATGTCTTTGGGAACAACTAAAATGTTAGTGTCCTTTCCTTTGTTTCTTTTTTTCTTTGAACGTCACAAAATATGCACCACTGAGATGCAAGAGGAATTATATCGTGAAGGAATGCCTGGTTCCATTTATTTCTTTGTAGCTTATGTTTCTGAATAGTTCCAAACAATACAGTATTATATTTGTAATTGCAAAAGACTATATGTACCTGAAGCAACCTCGTGTATGAATAGGATGTCGGAACGGTTGTAAAGAAAAGTCACTCAACGTTGACTGGCTAAGTAAAACAGTATCGTAAAAAAGACAAGTGTGTTGTGTGAGGATCATTATAAGGAATATTACAACTTCATTACAGAATCAACATGAGAAAAAGTGTGGAAATTATTAAGGACTTTTCAATTTATCAGTTCATTCATGATCAATTGACTGACGAGGTCTGCTGTGCAGAGTTGATCCTATTATTTTTTCAAATGTGTTTGCAGTTCATTATGTATGTAACCTTCCATCTAGACCTGATTGTTCCTTCAACAATCAACCTCCTCATCGAGGTGTAAACCTGGGAAACATGGCTCTCCGACCCCAAGGAAATACAGCCACGTTGCTCTGATACCTTTCTGTCCTGCAATGCCACTTGTTAATACAGTCGCTATCAGCCGATATACTCACGTTAAGACAAACATCGCTCATGTGATAATATGTCCTGTACGGTTTTAAATCAGCACATTAAAACATTAAAACAACAGTGTGTGTTTGGTGATCATTACACTCAACCATTACGCCTGTGTATTTTTGTCTTGTGACGTAAATGTGTACCAGTCGATAATTGTAATTGGCCTCTTTTCATGAGTAACTATGTAAGGTTTCACAATTGACACGAATTCGTAACTTGTTTATGGTAAATGTTACTAGGACACCATTGAACGATGTTTTTTGAACGACCGAAGACGTCATCAGTTATTTTGCAAACCCACTACAGTCCTAAATTCGTTGTGTTATTTTTTGTAAGCTAGCTGTTGCTGATAAGTCGGGTCTCAAAATGGATGACCATGTGACATGAGTGAGTGAATATGGTTTTACGCCGCTTTTAGCAATATTCCAGCAATACCACGGCGGGGGACATCAGACATGGGCTTCACACATCGTACCCATGTGGGGAATCGAACCCAGGTCTTCAGCGTGGCGGGCGAACGCTTTAGAACAGTGTACGTTAATGTCACACAACACACTGTTCTGGGTGACAGTGTACGTTAATGTCACACCATACTACTTTGTGTGACAGTGTACGTTAATGTCACACAACACACTGTTCTGGGTGACAGTGTACGTTAATGTTACACACCATACAGCCCTGTGTGACATTGTACGTTAATGTCACACCATACTACTCTGTGTGACAGTGTACCTTAATGTCACAACACACTACTCTGTGTGACAGTGTACGTTAATGTCACACCATACAGCTCTGTGTGACAGTGTACGTTAATGTCACACCATACTACTCTGTGTGACAGTGTACGTTAAGTCACACAACACACTGTTCTGGGTGACAGTGTACGTTAATGTCACACCCTTCTGCTCTGTGTGACTGTACGTTAATGTCCCACCCTACTACTCGGTGTGACTGTCACACCCTACTACTAGGTTTGACAGTGTACGTTAATGTCACACCATACTACTCTGTGTGACAGTGTACGTTAATGTCATAAACCATACATCTCTCTGTGATCATGACAGTGTATTTTAATGTCACACACCATACTACTCTGTGACAGTTTAACCCGTGAAGGTCCGGGTTAAAATGAACCGTACAACTAAACTCACTCACTCACTGTGACAGTCTCACACCACAGCGCCCTGTGTGATAGCTAACGTTTATGTCACAAACCATACGTTTTCTGTGTGGTAGATTAGTTCAATGTCACACATATTTATCTGTGTGATGGTTTACGTTCATTTCACATCATGGTGTTCTGTGTGACAATTTACATTCATGTCACACAATTGCATATTCTGTATAAAAGCCACTATGCTCTGTTTACATTTGCTGTGTGACTATATTGCTCTGCGTGACAGTTTACTTTAATTCCCCACCATGTTTCTGTGTGAAAAATGTACGTTGATATCACACCACTTTGCTCTATATGGGAGTATACCTTCCTGATCCACACTGTTGCTCTGTATAACATTATACCTTGATAGATTGTTTGTCTGTTCTCTCTTTTAACTTTCCTTTTATACACTCAGTAATATTCCAGCAAAACAATGTCAGTCTCCCCACTGTCCAGTCTGAAGACGACCATCTTGGGAATCACATCCTGGTCTATTTATACCATTATATGCATTCTCTACATATTCAGTCTGAAGGACCTATTTCTTCAAAAGACGATCCGGTTGTTATAGAATCATTGACAATGACGACATTTCCTCCAAAGCTGTTTAAAATTGAGATGGAGAGAGAAATCTACATAAATGTAACAATACCTTTTGAAAAAGAAATTAAAATTGACATTATAAGGTTAATGACATTATATTCATCCATTACAAGATTCGAAACACATGAGTAAAATAAATTAAATTATTTTCAACGGTATATCTGAGAACAACAAGACACATGAGGTACAAGCTCTTTAGATCCAGACCTTCACATTTGGCAAGAAGTTTTGTTTTAAACATATTTTATTCATTCAAGAAAAGGATTGGGCACAAGTTATCCAACTTAGAAAAGCCCTCTCCAGGCAAGAAGTGTCACACCATTACAAAATGTGTATAAGTACGATTGACATTTAAAAACGGGTTGTCATGGTTCCAGAATCTTGAATCTTAATATTCCTCTTGTGAATAGCAGCAAATGCAGTGGTAGGAACTGTTCACCAGAGAGACATAACTTGATCGACTCGTTGAGCAGGAAGCCCATTGTAGGCAGCGGACACAGGAACGTGACCATCTGGAACTCCTTCCCCTGACGCAGCATCCAACACCGACAACGGCGGTGTGTTGACCTGTCTTTCAACTGTATTGACAACTGAGTAACGGTAAACCGTGCCTGTGTCTCTCGATACGACGATCGCGCCTTGCTGAATGCTTAGCAAACTGTTCTTCTTATACCCCTATGGCCAGGAGTTGCTACAACACAAATAATTGTTCCTCTGTGAAACCTCGCGGGTGTCGTTGACACGTCTTTGAACTGCTGATGATGCTGTTTGTGTTGGCTAGGTTATGGCGTTTTAACGATTTTCCCATTGTAAATGTATTATTGCATGTGATGTACATGTTTATTGTAGAGCGGGATTGAGTAGAAAGTATCCCCAGCGATCAACCAGCGGCAGCCGTCACGGCTTTTGTGAATGGACACGGTTGTGGTGATTTTCATGCCGAAGAATTTCGAGACTAGCGGAAATATATTGAATTGCAAAACACCACTTGACATTTCTTTGTATTTGAAAACTTTGTGTTTTGATATTTCAAGTTTAACACAGAATACGTTTCACAAGTTAATTTAAAGTCTTCAATTTCCAGTAGAAATTGAAATTTGCGGTATGAAAAATCTACTTTTCGAACTGCTGGTAAATCCGATATCATCCGCGTCAAATGAAAGGCAAGAAGTGATTGGTGACGGGTTTACAGTTACATTTAGGGGATTTCAAACGGGAAGGACATTTTTGTGGAGGGAAAGCCAGAGTGACAAAAGTTTTAAACAGGCATCAGTTTTTAAAAATCTCAAGCATGCGTTCATGTGGTGCATGTTCGCCAAGGATAACATCGGCAATATCTCAGCCGTATCGTGACGAAAACATTTTATACAATATAAATGAAAACATTTTAAAGAGTATTATCTGTCGATGATGGACAGTAAAAATCCTAGAGTATCACAGATATGAATATAAAACTAGAATGTAAATCTAACACAGTTAAATTGAAGAAGACAGTACAATATAAAACACGGGCTATAGATCGCCAACAAATAAATGTAGATCACCATACTAGGGACGCCAAGGCTCTGGAGAACAAGACTGCAAGTTCTTATCCCATATTTGGGTAACATTACAGTTAAAAGGTTTAAATACGTCCACTTGTCATGAAAGGTAAAGCACGTGGCTGAATATTGTTTGTTTTATGTTTGCTGAATGCAATAACGCAGTATTACGGCTACGTGGAAGTGGTTTGAAAATAATTGAGTCCGATCCAAGCAGTCAAAGGACTGAGCTCATGATGATCGAACCACACCACTGACATTCATCAGAGGGGTACACAAAGTCCGTGGTCTTGACGACCAGTTGTCCGAATTTCATTTTTGTGGAAGCCGCGGTGGCTGAGTTGGTGCTGGCGATTAGGTGCCTGACTCCGATGGTGTGGGTTCGAATCCGGGATGGGACTTTGTTGAGAAAGTGTAATTCCAAATATTACAAACGTTAAACACCATTGAGCCTAGTCATAATACATGCAATCAGCTATGTCACTGAGTCTCGTAACCCAATCCACTGGCGATAAGCCAACGTTGCTGAGGACCGATATTCTTTCCACGGATGACTGAACAATATTTTCAAGGGACACCTTGTTGGATATGACTAAATCACCACGTTCTTACAGCCCAAAGCGTGGTTCTAATACTAGATGTGTCATTATTCCGATTTGGCTGTTCTTGATGTATTTTTAATTGCAGAAATGTAAACAAGATATTTAATTTTTACATATTGCTCAACATTCTTATTTCAATATAGACATGATCATAAGTCATTAATAATATACACAACATCTGGCCGTACGCCCTACGTGAACCTAAGCGAAACAGTACAACAGCATCTTGTGGTTCCTCAGACTTTTTACATTGTAATTAGAAGCGAGATTTACCTTAAGTCGTTTTAACAGTTACAACAAACAATGCTAGCGTGGGTTTTAACAAGCCTACATTTAAAACTTGGTCTGATCGACAGGAAGCCGCAGCTCGTGAGCCCGTATTCGATCCGTCCTGTTTTTGCTGGTTGAGTAAAGTTGGTTGTCATGTGTTTCGAAATTAAAACAAATTAAAACAAAATGCAGGCCCATTGAACAATGAGCACGGTCGTCCAGGACCACTAGACTCCCACCGCCCCAAGCTCTTGTTATGAATAAAACACATGCCTCATCTGTTTGTTGTTCTTCTTTGCAATACATCCCCACAAACCATTAGTAATTTAGCAGAATGCCTTGTTACGTATTAAGATACTTCAGCGCGATCGATGTTCAACACTGTCTTTGACACCAAGGCATGACAATGAGGCTTCCTTTCAATTAGCCGATTGGTATCGCATCTGTTTGCCAATAGCCTCGTACAATCCAAAGTCGTGAATGATCGCACATGTTGTAGATTTAACATATTTTATATTTGGGATGTACCTATTCAGCCGACGCGGCTTCCAGTGAAAGAAAATAGGCTGCAGGTGGAAGCTTGGTGGCTGAGTGGGTTAGATCGCTGACTTTGTGTGTTGGTGATTAGGTACCTGACTCTCAGGGTGAAGGTTCGAATCCCAGATTGGACTAAACAAACCAAATGCTCTAGAATGTGTACTTTACTGAGAAAGTGGTATCCCAAATATAACATGTTACACTTAAACACAATCTAAATGGCATTGTGTGGTGGTGTGTGGTCCTGTGCATAGAGCTCAGGTCACAAATCAGTTGAAGTTAAGCAACGTTGGGCGTGGATAGGTGTTTGGCAGCCTGACTCCTGAAAGTTTTTAAGACTTCAGTCCTGCCCCACAACGA